GGGGGGGGGGGGGGGGTCAAACACTCATTGCCGACTCTACATGTGATTTATAATATTTCACGTGGGAATATCCCGCATTGCTTGATTTTCACCATTAGAAACATGTGCTTGAAATAAACTAGTGGCCCAAAATTGAGGGAGTTTATTTCGTATGACTTTTGTATTGTAAAAGTGTAAACGTATTTTCCTTTTAGTTTTTCTCAAGAAAGACCTTACAAGATGCCTCACCTTTCCAACCCCTCGAATTCGTACATCTGTCTTTTGTCATCGAGTGTGTGTCTATGTTTGTTTTTAAAGGTGAGTTTCGCTTGATTTCGACGTTTAATATTTTGTGTTCGAGATTAACAATGAATGGAGAAAACCACGTTTCTTTTTAGACATACTGAATAGTTGAATCCCGTAATGCTTGTATAAGCTAAGGTTGCAAATGCACGATATATAGAACACTGTCTTGAAGGTCTCGTATTTCACCTAACTTTATTTCCTTATCAAAATTCTGAAACTTAACAAGAAAAAGAAAAGAGGTTTAAGTTATTTATATTGATATTGAAAACAAATATTTTACGGCATTAATATAGTTTAACATTTTATAGTATGTTATTTACTCCATACTATTTTTGTCAATTTAGCAATTATAATACTGATCATCGACATTTACTTGTATTTACGTTATAATTGAACCAACATAAAAGACACATGATAGAAGGGGTCCACAAATCAAATTCATCTTCTACACTAATTGGAAGTAATGACAAAAGCAAATAAAGAACGACTTAGACAATTGTCCAACAACGAAATCAGTTTACATTGTATCACACGCGCGACAATGACATACTAGTGCATGATAAGGATAGCTAGCCTTCTTAAACAAGGATCAGGCCTAACACTAAGTTATGAATAGTTAATGAATTGCTAAATTAAGGTTGTTTTGGAAGTTTATTCTTTGGTCGCAAGTAACTTACACTAAGGGAAATAATAAAGTAATAGTTGAAAATATGAAATAATTAATTAATGTGATGGAAAAAAGTAGATGTGAATTGATAGGGACCATGTGGAGACTTCCTTTGGAGGATTCAAGAGTTAGGCTTACGTCGAACTTCAAACATGCAAGGCCATGCACAAATATAGTTAAATATGGAAAGCAACGATTGATTTTGCCAAAAATAGCTATATTGCCTTTTCCGTGTGTCCATTTTCCATTAATTAAGTTCGGTATATGCTGGGGATGAATATTTTTATGCTTGTTTTATTATCTATGACTATATATATATATATGTGTCATATTCTCTGCACGCATACCCCATATTTCTTCATGATGCATTTCTTTGCATTCTATTTTTTAAATACTAATAATGTAAAAAAATATTCATATTAAAAATACTTAAACATAACTACAATAATAGGTGAAATTAATAATTTAAAAGACTCATAATACAAGTAACGTTTTTTCAGTTATTGTGTTAAAATTTATTTACACTGATAGTGGATATTAGGTATGAGTAATTACTCTAACATTGACCCGAAATGAAATGCTAATCCTCTAGGACACACATCGAAGCTTAATGTTCCAAAGAAATAATGAAAGTACCAAACCCCTAATAGCACTTCAGTTGTCTAATCACATTGGTGTCTTTGTCAAACAGACTTAATTCCCATCTACAAAGTACTTAGCTTAATTAGATGAGTAGTTGGTGAGTTGCACTTTCCTCAAATGATTACTGCAAGTACACTAGAACTGTATTAAGTCGGCTAACGTCTGATTATATTTTAGAGAGCAGATTAAGACACATAATCATTGCTTGACCATGACTTTGTTTAAGTAACTTCTAACTAGACTTGATCAATACAAAATCATTAAAAGAAGGCTTTGAAAAGCGCTTATTTGATGGATTAGGTAACCATCATCTCTCCTTTGCCAAAAAATTGAATTTACTTTTAGATATTTATATTGATGGTTTATTCCCAATTATAAGAAAAGCTTCTAGCGTAGTAATAAAGGGGTAATAAAATCATCCATGCGTCTATATATTATATGAACAGGGGTTATATTAGAGTTTGTTCTATTACACAGTGAATACTTAACTCAGGAACCACAATATGGGGGAATATATTATGGGGAATTTTAGCACTCTATATATATAGTGTGCTAGCTATTTATATCTAGCAGCTTAAATTTATAGTACGTACTAAGTGGGGTTTGAATCTAGGGGTTTAACTCAAATAAAAATATTCAACAACATACTTAATCGCCGTTAAGCAATTGCATGGACCAGATATCCTCCATGCTCCAAATGTTGTCATTTGTTTCAGTGAGAAAAGGGCCTTGAAAAGTAGTGTCAATATTTGCAGAGTATGAACTTGGAGAGTAAGTCTCTGCTGGACCAGCAGACGACATATGGCTACTGCTTCCTTCTTGATGATCATTTTGCTCTGAATTAGCTGCTTGTCCATTCATGTTTTCTGCTTGCTTTATGTGCTTCTGAATCCTTGTCCTCCAATAGTTCTTTATCTCATTATCTGTTCTTCCAGGCAAATGCTTTGCAATTTTTGACCACCTATGTCAAAAACGGATTCAATATTTCGAGTTAGTGCATGGTTTTCGAACTGAAAGCAATGGATCCAGTTGAATCTGTCCTAAATTTGCATCTGACCTCGACATGCACTATGTATTACAACTCTAGAACTGTTTCCTTTCATAAATATATATTATCAATGCAAAAAGAGGATATATGCTAACTATATCTTGAAAGAAAGCATAATGAAAAAGCTCATTGGACATGAGGGAGGAGAAATTATCTTCAAGAACAGATAAAAGTAATGTATTAAGAACAAATTAATACACAAGGTCCTATAGTTAACACTTTAATATTCAGTAACATTCTAGTAACATCTTTAACATGAGACTGAAATATACATGGTTACTAGATCTGCTAGATCAATTACTTTATAAGTAACATACTACTCCAATAAAGAAATAATATAAAGTATTAATTTTTTCCCGTAAGATGTTGGTAAGAGTGTCAATATGTTCATGGCCCACAAAGTTAGATTAAAGGTTTTTCATAATTGAAATAAGCATTTCAATCACGTTTATGGTTGAAAAATAATGCCTGTCATGTTCTGTGGTTGAAATTCAAAGTCACGTTTGCCTCCTTCTCCTATTTATTATTTAAACGAAACTCAACTTACAAAACGTTGAAACTAGAGAAATCCTCCCCACAGGACACCACTCCAATTACACTTACAACTTCTCCAAAAGTAGAGTCACCAATGCCTCCAAAAAAGTAACAAATTGAAAGAAACCATCAAACATTAGAGTAAGCTGAAGATGATGCCAAGCTGATGAAGAATACAAAAGTCTTTGCAATGCCTAATCGTCGCCAACTAGTTTTATGGTAACGTTACACTATCAGTAGCCACATAATATAATACTAGTAAGTTTTAGTGTTACATTATATAAACTATCGTTCAATATTTAAAGGAAATTTTTGGAAAAAATCAATTTTGATGATTGTCACATTTAATTGTATATACTCATTCACACATCAAAAGAATACCTTTTCCTTTGCAATTGAGGAAAAGAAAATATATTTGATAAACGACTTCTTGACTGATGAAATAAAGCCCCTTTTGTGGCAGTTAGGATTTGACTAGCAGCTGATGACTTAATAAATAAACAACAACAAAAATTGTCTGCTATCACTTTTGAAAATGCAATTTGTCACCCTTGTAAAATTTCTTGCATTATATATCTAGTGATTTATTTTGTGGGCCAAGCTAGCTAGTGTCTTCTTTTTGTTTCTGTTTTGTCCTTTAAGCATATGCAGAAACAAGTACTAACAAAGTGGTTATCTTAACCTCATGTCAACATATAATAACTTACATAAATTATTTAAAAAAAAGCATAATTTTAATTATTTAATTGCAATATATATCTTAACACAGGCTAGCAATTTCTTAAAGGATTCTAGTTTTTCAATCATGGTGTTAAAACACTGGCGATCTTGTTTTCACATACTACTAATTATTTTTTGTTATGTTTAACTATCTTGTATCCCAAGCCCATTAATTCTGACTAGTTTAGATTTGTGCCAAGAAGGTAAAGCACAAGTTATCAAGAAAATCTTCATTCTTATCACTCAAATTCAAGATATCTAACGGTGGAGAGATCACAAGCATCCAATGGGATTAATCATGTGAGTACTTTCTCCGTTTCAATTTAGATGACATACTTTCTTTATTAGTCTGTTCCAAAAAGAATGACACATTTCTATAGCTGAAAATATTACCTCCGTTCCAATTTATGTGAACCTATTTCCTTTTTGGCCGTTCAAAAAAGAATGATCCCTTTCTAAATTTGGAAATAATTTTGCTTAAACTTACAATTCTACCCTTAATGAGAAGTTTTTATAACCACACAAATACTCTGGGTCCTTTTTTAATTGTTTAGGACCACAAATTTCAAAAATCTTCATTTATTCTTAAACTCCGTGTCCAGTCAAACATGTTCACATAAATTGAAACAGAGGGAGTAATTCAACTTTAAACTTTTCACTTTACTTATTTTACCTTTAGTGAGAAGTTTTTATAATAAAACAAATGTCATGCCTACAAAGTTTTTACCCCTTAAGCTTTTACAATCACAAGTTTTAAAAGTCTTCCTCTTTTCTCTTAAACTCCGTATCGTGTGTAACTATCTCATCTAAATTGAAACGAAAGAGAGTATTATACTATTAAAACTTCTAATGTACGGAAAAGGGGCCCATTGTCTTTAAATACCAACAAAAACATAAGGTAGCTGTCAATTTCATAAGCAACTTGGAGGTGGGAGCTTCTCTTCAAAACTAGAGATAGCAGTTAAAGGGCTTGACATGTGACTAAAATGAAATCGGTTCTTCTAAAAAAGGAAACTTCTATCTTTCTGGCTTTCTTTGAAAACGTGTTCTATATCCACTGCTATTATGTAAGACCGAATCCTTGTCTCACCGCTGTCCTTTTCTACTTAGTTTAATTGGAATACGAATGAAGTACATGTAATCATATTCTTTTGCCCCCTTCTTTAACCATAATTTTCTTTCTAATAATTGTGGAAGTGACATTGTTATCACTTCATACAAGTTAATCAGCATCCGAAGATTACCTTTAATGTGATGATTATTAGCTTAAAGATTTATTTTAGGTTGTCAAACTCAAGTAATAACGCATTTTTTTTAAAATGTAATAAAGCATAAAATGGTTTTAAAAATAATTTCCTTAAAAATAGAAAATAATACAAAATGTGCTTTATCATTAAGAAAAAAAAATACTTGAACAAAAAAAGCTTCTTGTATGGGAAATAAATTCTCGAAAAACTATATGCTTTATTATTAGTATGGTTTCTTTAGTATATATACTATATAGCTCAATAATAGATCTGAAAAATAAGCTTTAGAAAAGGAAAATAATCATTTTAAAATTTTATTCATGGAAGACATAGGGTAGATGAGGGGTTTAGGAAGAAGAACTTTTGATAGGACCAAAAAAACAAAAAGGAAAATCAAACTTATTTGGCGTAGCTATAGATTATATTCCCCACGTTTCAATTCTAAGATCTTCAGTACGTAGCCATAAACATATAACACGTTTTAAATACTCACTTTCTTTCATTCCAAATCTAGTACAGGTTATGGGCTTGAAGATCTCACATCCACGAGCTCAGAATCATTTTTGGACAAAATTTTGAGCGGCTCTCTTTGTCCACTCAACAAATAAAACGCATGGGAGAATCAAAACTTGATGGAAAAAATTCCATCAATTTCCTATTTTTTTCTTTTGCAATTGAATTTTAATTACTTTATGTACTACTCTTTAGAAATACTCACCTGTTTCCCCACTTAGCATGCAGTTCCATTATCAAAAGTTGTTCTTCAGGTGTAATATTTCCCCTCCGGACATCAGGCCGGAGATAATTTAGCCACCGGAGCCGACAGCTTTTTCCAGTACGTTTGAGACCTAGAGAAAGAATATTAAGACATATAAAAAGTGTTCCTACATATAATAAAATGATATCTAGGGTTTTGTTACTGGCAAAGGAAGGGGGGAAAAAAGGAAAAATTACCAGCAGATTTAGCTAAGGAATTCCAAACACCTTCACCATGATTAGCAATGTAGTTAATGAGAATTAAATCCTCTTCCATAGTCCAAGGTCCTTTCCTTACTTCAACATCTTGAGAGTTGCATGGTTTTTTATCCATCTTTTTTTAAAGATGAAGAAAAAAGGAGAGAGAGGAAGAGATATGGGATAGGAGTGAAGATATGTGGTACTTTGAGACAAGGAACTAATGTGGTTGGGCAGATATTTATAAGGGTTGGCTAATAACAAAATTTGCTACCAGTAATTTAAGTCTTTAAGATTTGCGACATAAGAGAGCTTTTAACCTAACTTGCTTTATTATAAAATCATAATAATCTTCATATAACTCTTTAATGAAGACTTTGTAATAGACTTAAAACTATGCGGGCATACAGGACAGCTATTGATGTGATCATGCATGGTCACGATATGTACCTCCGCCAGCAGTGCACAATTCTAGAATGATATTTCCTTTGTCTTAAAGGCCCGCCCATTGAACTAGGCTCCCGTTATAAGCGGAATTTGGGGAAATGTCGGACCATGAGAGTTTATTGTATGGAGTCTTACCCTGCATTTTTGCAAGAGGTTATTTTCACGGCTTGAACCCGTGACATTCTGATCACATGATAACAACTTTACCAGTTACGCCAAGGCTCCCCTCGATATTTCCTTCGTCTTATTTTATTTAATATCATTTGACTAGGCGTAAAAACTAACTCAGTACTAGATATTTACACTAAATAGATACATAAATGTGTTTATATATACAATTGTCTCACTTAATATAATTAACTTTTCGGTATATATTTGGTGTAAACACTTACTGCAACTAAGTTTTTACCCTTAGACTAGGTATAAAGCAAATATTTAATTAATGTGGACATAATTTGATAGAAAACATCATACTAAAATTTAAGAAAAATAAAGTTAAAGTAAACTCTGATTCTTAAAAGTTGTGTTAATAATATTTTTCTATATCATTTTATGTGATACTATTATTATTATTATTTATTTTTTTTATAATAGTTTTACTTATTAATCATGTTAACTTATACTCTCTCTGTTTCAATTTGTTTGTCCTACTTTGATTTGACACAAAGTTTAATAAAGAGAGTAAGACTTCTAAACTTGTGGTATTAAACATGTCATAATATTTGTGTGGCTATAAAGTTTTTGAAACTTGTGGTCTTAAACAAGTCAAAACATTTGTATGGCTATAAATATTTTCTATTAAGGAAATATATGAATGTGTCAATTTATTTTGGAACGGACTTATAAGAAAATAGTGTCAATCTTTTGAAACGGAAGGAGTAGTACTTTTCACGTACGTAGTTTTAAATATGAAATTTTTATTTTAAAAAACCCTATAAATCTATGCATCAATTTACACAAAAAGTTAGGTGCTTTATGACCGTCATACTCTGAACTCCTCACATAAAATGAAATAATTAAAGGAAGTATTAGCAGTAGAATGATTCCAACGTACATGTCGATACATATATTAATAGAAAAGAGTATCATAATATATGGAATTAACGCCATGCAAGATAAAATCCAAAAATCCCCCCTCACCCCCTCAATATTTCTTAGCTGTTTTTGGTTTATTATTGAGTTTGTACAGTATACAAGGAATATTATGGAGTACCATTCTACTAAGTTTAAAGGTATTAATTGAGGAATAAAACACACCATCTCACGTGCACTCTGTATGCATGTAGATCGTACGGATAGCTAAGGCTAATAACTTTGGAAAAAGAAAAGAGTAGGTAAAATAGAAGAAAGCTATGCTGCATTTGCCTAAAAATATGGAAGATGATTTCCTTTACTATAATCCATTAATATCCAGGTAATGAAAATTCTATATCGACAATCAAAAGGAAAAAGAAAAGCCTGGGAATGCAAGCCATAAGCTTATGGCAGACGTATTCACAGTCTCGGTCTCTCTTTGTTATAATATGCATGACTGCCTACTCAATTCGAAAACAGAAAACATTAGTTCAAAAAGAACCTTCATATAATTTACATTTCTAAATAAGGAAGTTTCAGCTGTTTGAAACAGATATGCTTGTTAAACGGTACATATTTATGTGAATAAGCTATTGTTTTATTTGATTTAACTCTCACAGTAACCGTACATCCAATTCAATGTACAGACACACACATTGTTAGAAAAGATCGAAAGTGAAGTATTATGACTGGATTTTGCAAACGGTTCAATGAACTCCAAAAATTAATGGCTGAAATTCCCTAATTTGATTCATAGAGTAGCGTATGTGAAACTGGAACAAAATGTCACCACTGTTATTACTGGTTTTAAATGTTGAACTGGATATAGTTGCAAAACATTTGGAACGTTGAAGGCATAATAAATTTGAGAGTTTAACTTATATTGTAAAGAAATTTTCTTTAAGTAGTTATTCGTTTAAATTTTTTGATAAGATTATTATACAATTCAATATAGTGTTAGATTAAATAGATCTCTTTAGTTCAAATCTCATCGCTACTCATTAAAGAAAAATATCACGTGTTGTCCCGTAAAAAAGGGAAAAGGTCCAAATTTATCCTCTCTACTTTTGAATATTATCTACATCTAATCTTTATTATACTATTCGGTCAAATTTATCCCTATCGTTATATTATCCGGCCAAATTTATCCTTACCGTTATACTATCCGGCCAAATTTACCCCGTAATATGGCCAAATTTTTATGACATTTGCCACGACATAATATCCATTATAACAAATTTGTGGTTCATAACATTTGCCATGACATAATATCCATTATAACAAATTTGTGGATCATGACATTTGCCATGACATAATATCCATTATTAGGCCAAGAATTTCTTGCTATAAATAGAGGAGTTTCTCCTCATTTGAAAACACACCAATTCAAGAGCTTTTCACTCTTGTCTTTCTTTCTCCTCCTTTATTTTATTGTAGAGTATTTTATAAGAGAGTGAGTATTGGGAAACACTTGTGTGAACCCTTTCTTTGGAGTGATCTTGTGAGGTTATTCTCTTGGGGTATTTGGGATTAATTAGAGTATTTACTCTAATTTTGTACTCTCTTTTGTACTCTTGTTGGTATAGTGAAATTGCTCCTCTCTGCTTGTGGACGTAGGTCACCTTGACCGAACCACGTTAAATTTGTGTCTTCTTTATATTCTTTAATTGCCGTTATTATCAACTTCCATTGTCTTTGTTATTGTCATTATACCGTTGTTTGGCTAAATTCCGCACTACTCGGGTTTCCGATCATAATAAATTGGTATCAGAGCCATATCTAACCGGATTAGTTTAAATAGCCAAAATAACTCTAACAAAGTCTTATGTTGAGAAATTTGACCGAAGTGCAAACTTCGGAATGTGGCAATTAAAGATGGAAGCTATCCTAATTCAGGATGGCTTAGATTTGGCACTGCAAGTAAAGGAGAGGATGCCGGATAAAATGACGGACGAGGAGTTTGCCGTCATAGACAAAAAGGCAAAAGTATGTATTATTTTAAATCTTCCAAATGAGGTTTTGCGTGAAGTTGCAGCAGAAAGATCAGCCAAAGGCATATGGAAAAAGCTTAAAACCCTATATATGAAAAGAACAGTGGAAAACAGGCTTTACCTAAAGCAAAAACTCTACACTTTTCGTATGGCTGAAGGTACCTCTATACTTACTCATCTTGATACTTTTGATTCTCTTCTTATGGATTTAAGTAACATAGATGCTGAAATCAAAGATGAGGATCAAGCTGTGTTATTGCTTGTTTCCTTACCCCAGTCGTTTAAACATATAAGAGATACTATGCTTTATGGAAAGGATAATATCTCTTATAAAGATATCAAATCTATTTTGAAATCAAAAGAACAAATAGATAGAGATATTACTGGGGAAACTAGTGGGAACCAAGGGGAAGGCTTATTCATAAGAGGTAGATCCAATAAGAAAGATTCAAGTAGTGAGAAACCTAAATCAAGGTCAAAATCCAGATACAGAAATGTCATGTGCAAATATTGTCATAAGAAAGGTCACATTATTTCTGAATGCTTTAAATTGAAAAACAAAGAAAAGCATACAGAAAAGAAAAATGAGTACAAAAATACTGACACTGCCGAAGCAAGTGTAGCTGCTGATGAAACTGAGGGAACTATTTTTTTAGCAACTAATAATAGTTTCAAATCTAACAATGAGTGAATTTTAGATTCGAGTTGTTCTTATCATATGTGTCCCAGTCAGGATTTATTTATCACATAGGAATCTATTGGAGGTGGAGTTATCTTGATGGGCAACAATGCTGCCTGTAAAGTTATTGGAAAAGGTACAGTCTGAATCAAAATGCACGATGGTGTGGTGAGAACTTTCACCGATGTTAGACATGTTCCTGACTTGAAGAAAAATTTCATCTCTTTGGGCAGTCTAGAATCTCTTGGGTGCAAGTACACAGGTGAAGGTGGAGTTCTGAAAATTTCTCATGGTACTCTTGTGATCATGAAAGCACGCAGATCTGGTACGTTGTATACTCTTTTGGGATCTACTGTTACAGGTGCTGCTGCAGTTTCCATATCAGATAAATCAGATTCTGACATCACCAAATTGTGGCATATGTGATTGGGGCGTATGAGTGAAAAAGGTCTTTTCATCCTCAGTAAAAGAGGTCTTTTATGTGGCCAAAGTACCGAAAATATGGAGTTCTGTGAACATTGTATGTTCGGGAAGCAGAAAAGAGCCAGTTTCAAATCTCCAGCGATTCATAGAACAAAAGGTACTTTGGATTACATTCATTCAGATCTTTGGGGTCCTTCACGTACCCCATCAAAAGGTGGTGCCAGGTATATGTTAACTTTCATTGATGATTATTCAAGGAAAGTTTGGGTTTATTTCCTGAAAAATAAAAGTGATGTTTTCTTAAATTTCAAACAATGGAAAGTTTTGATTGATAAGCAAACAAGAAAATAGGTTAAGCGGCTTAGAACAGATAATGGCTTGGAATTTTATAATGATGAATTCAACAAATTTTGCAAGAATGAAGGAATTGCTCGACATCTACTGTGAGAATGACACCTCAGCAAAATGGTGTGGCAGAAAGGATGAATAGAACTCTTTTGGAAAGGGCTCGTTGCATGATTTCAAATGCTGGATTGACAAACGCCTTTTGGGCAAAAGCTATCTCTATAACTTGTTATATTGTCAACTGAGCTCCTTCTGCACCTTTGAACTTTAAGACTCCAGAGGAAATGTGGTCAGGTACTCCTGCTAATTATTCTGATTTAAAGATATTTGGTTGCCCTGCATACATGCATGTAAATAATGGAAAATTAGAGCCAAGGGCTAAAAAGTGCATTTTCCTTGGGTATGCATTTAGGGTGAAAAGATACCGACTATGGTATCCTGATCCTATGGCACCAAAATTTAAAATTAGCAGAGATGTAACCTTTGATGAATCCTCTATGTTACATTCTAGAAAAGAGTCTTCTAGTTCTTGTAATACAGATAAAG